CGGGAGTTCACTCACTTACCGGTCTGCCTGGCTCCTCTTTAAGCGACCCAACAACAAAAAAGACCAAACAGCAAAAAAAAACACGGGTTCCTTGCGTAACCCCCTTTCAAGAGTCTAGGCTGCAGTTCACATAAGCTATAGTCTAAACCCCTTAAATGGGGGGTCATATAGGGGATGATATAGGGGACCATTAAAAGGGTTATAAGGAATACTAGGAGTTTAGACTATAACCCCTACTATCTCCTATATAATCCCATGTTCCATGTCATTTTCCAGCTTCTTTTCCATTGGATTCTCCATTATTAAGGGGGATACTAGTGAAACCCTAAACCCCCTAAACCGCTAGACTACAGCTCACATGGCTTTGACGCCAAGGGGGCACTGGCGTAGACGTCGCGGAACGTTCATTGGTCGGGCCGTCGCCTCAAAGCCGCAAATCCCGAAGCGCCCAGGATGCCCAGAACCCCTTTATTAGGGTTGATTAGGGTTTAGGGTTTAGGGTTTAGGGTTTTGGGTTTAGGGTTTAGGATCTCTTTTTATCGGGCCTTTTTCCACCTGCCGGGTTTAGGCTTTAGGGTTTACAGGGAATATGGGGCTCAGGGTGTAGGAGACTTCTTGGTTCAGGGTCTAAGGTTAATTCCTTAGGACCTGGAATGTAGGATACATTGTTTACGGTTTAGGGCTAATTACTGAGTGTTTAGGGATGAGGCTCTAATTAAACAAAGTACTTACCAGTAATGCAGAAACTTATGGAACAGGAAATAGAAAATGAACCTGAAAACATGTTGGAGATCCTGGGATAAACCCTAGACCTAAACTTCAAAACCCAGTATAGTCTAAGGTTAGAAGCATCGGCCCCAACTATGGGCCCTTAGGCCTTTTAGGGGGATTCTAGGGACCCTGGAGGGTACATATATACAGTATACAGTAGGTGTATCAGGATCCAAGGGTTAAGGGCCCATATTAGGGGCTCATGGTTTCTCAACCCTAGACATACCTAAACCCTAAACCCTAAACCCTAATACGCCTTCATCAAGGTCTGCGGGGCCCTCTAGACCTGCTTACTCTTCGCAGGGAACGGGGGGATCGGTTTAGGGTACTTAGGTTTTAGGGGTAGGGTTTAGGGTTTAGGGTTTAGGGTTTAGGGTTTAGGGTTTAGGGTTTAGGGTGGGAATTGGATAAAGGAAACTACCAGGGTACCCTATACCCGAAATTCGTAGGGTTTAGGGTTCAAGGTTGCGTTTAGTGCTTGGTGGGGAACGGGGGATGGGTTGTATTTGAGGGCCATGGTGCGGATTATGCAGAGGCTACTCGCCTCAACCGATGACCATGCTCTTTGGTTAGCTGGGACTGAAGGAATTGAAAAGAAAATGGAAACTGCCATAGGGTTTAGGGTTTTGGGTTTGGGTTAGGAATGGAAAAGAAGATGGAAACTACCGTAATGGGCCATATATAGGACTACTATAAGGATCCATTCCTTCATTCCTAGCTAACTACAAGTAAGCAAAGGTAAGTAGATCTTACACTCGTTACGAGCTTCTTCAACTCTATAGCCTCTTACAGAAGCTTTAAACCCCTGGGATCAATAATTCTGATAACCCTTCTCATAGTATTATTCTTGCAAGAAACGTAATGAGAATAATACCGAAGAACCTCTTACTCTCCCGATTGGATCAGCCTGCTCGGTGACGTGGCGAGGCCATGCTCCGGACCTGTGTCAATTTAGAGGCCCGGAAGTCAATCCACTGCTTGGCTGTTAAAAGTATGGCAAGTTTCGGGCACCCTAAACCCTAAGTATTAGTAGTTATCTTCATGCTTTAACTACTTACTATGTAACCTTACTAAGTCCCCCGAACCCTCATAGTTTGGTGCCGTCTCTCCCTTTGCCACTTGAAGCTCTTCTGATGCGTGGTAAAGAGTTCAGGATTTCGTTGAGAGTTTAGACTGGCAGTGATCTAACAGTTCAAGGTTTGGGGTTTAGGATTTGGCTTGGGTCAGGGTGTGGGAGTTTACTGTTGAGGGTGGGAATTCAGCGTTCGGGGATAATGGCTGCAGAGCGACCCGCATCTTCCAGCATAAGAACATACACTACATAATTCACGACTCAAAAGCCTGCTTCAAATCCGACTCCCAAACTTGCAGACAGACCCCAACCGCAAAGACACCTCATCAGACTTAGCAAGATCTGAGCCTTAGTCTGAACTCTTAGCATCCCCCCTTATAACCCCTATAACTCCCATTTAAGGAGTTTAGACAATAGCCCACGTGGAGTCTTAGTTTAGGAATCTTATGGTTTCTTTCACACCGTTTCACCGTGGGAGACATGTATGGGGGCTCTTGCTAACGTCAGCTACTTTTTTCATAAAGGAACCGAACAAACAAATTTCCCTGGCCAGAGAAAATCCTCAGATTTTGGATTTGCAGTTTGATTCTGATTGCTAACCTATTGCTAACCTATGGTTGCTTGATATACCCTATGCACATATTGGGCAGCCTGGGAGTGCCTTTTTTAGAATGGCAAACTAATAATGAAAGTCACCGGCCAAAGAATCCGTAGAATTCGTTGTTCCCCACTGAAATCAAGTTCAAATCCACTCCTGCTCCTCCTTCCCCTACAATGGGCTGCTACTCTTACTTTTTTCCTCCTATTACTACTACTAGCGCTTCCATACCTACGACAGCCCATCTGAGAGAGCTCAGGCCCCAAAGCTTTTCAATTGGTTTGGGGTTTAGGGTTTAGGTTTTAGGGTTTAGGGTAGAGGGTTCAGGGTTGAGGGTTTAGGGTAGAGGGTTTAGGGTTTAGGGTTTAGGGTCCCCCATTACCCGCACCTTTGTTTTAGTTTGGTCCGCCCGGGGGGGAAGGGGGTGACTAAAACGGCCCTGACATTAGGCTACATATTCGCCAGAAACCTTAATCCCTACCGGGACTGTTGAAATCACCCTCGTCGATGTGACTCCCGCTCAAACAAGTCGTGCTCCAATACACAAGCAACAAATTACCACTATAGTCACGAGATTCGATACCAATGAGGACAACAATAACAACAATCACAACAACAGCATCAGCAGCAATAGGAGCAGGACCAGCAGCAACAGCAATCGCAACCCCTATACCCTAAGCCATGACAGAAGATCCGGCACCTTCTCGCATGAAGGCACTCGGCCACTCTTCTGCCTGAAAAATGCAAGGATGCTCTTAGGGTGTAGGGTTTAGTGTTTAGGGGTTTAGGGTTTGGGGTTTAGGGTGATCCTTTGCAAAGAAGAAGTACAGAAGACCGTTGGCATTGTAGGGATTTCCAGACCCTCTTCCTGAGCTTAGTACAGGATAGCAGGGATCCTTGTTGTTGTTGTTGTTGCCGAAAGGCCACGTGAGATTGTGTAAATTAAATGTGTGGAGAAACGTGCAAAAAGCGTATGTATATGTGCATACATACATATACAGATACATATACGGATACATATACATATACAGGTACATATACAGATACATATACAGATACACGTGTGCACATGTGTGTATGATTATATACATAAGCACATGAATATTAAAGCATGCAAGTATATAAATATATTAGCGCATAAGAATATGAGTATATCCGTATATCTGCGTATACGCCTATATCTGTGTGTATATATATATATATACATATATACACATCCAAATATGTGCAAATACATGTACCTATGGTAGAGGAAACAGGCATATAGGTACACGTGTATACATGCGTGTGTGTGTGTGTATATGTACATATGCGTATGTTCTCTTGAGGTGCATGTGGGTTGGTAAACATCTAAACCAGTATGTACGTACGTTTGCATGTATGCCTGTGTGTGCATATATATGTATGTCTATACATATGCTTGTGCGTGGGCTTGTACGTTCCTATGTCTCATGCGCTAGCAGCGATGGGATGCTTCTAAACATTGGAATCTTACCTTAGGTACCCTTTGCAGCCCAACATCCAAACATGATTCCACAGAAAGCTGGGCACACAGCAGAGGTAAGTGCTTGTTCGGCGGCATGGCGCCTGCCCCACTCGATGGCCTGCAATGTCGAATCTTAAGCCAAGCGAACCGCACACAGACACGCACACATACTGGGTTGAGCTATCGAAACTAAGACTGTCTGGCAGGAGGATTAAGGGCGGCTGTGATCTCAACGGCTCAGCACATGACGGTGTCCCAGGCTGGGAAGGCAGTTGCTGCCTTGGCATGCGAGACATCATGACAAAGAGTATCTATCGTTCATGTGCACAACCAGGCTCCTGGCGACTTAGACAGGGGTGCATCCCGAGACGGCGGTGTGGCAGCCTGCGCGGGACCAACAGATTAGCCAAAGGCATGTCTGTCTCAAAACAGCCGCAACAGAGGCCTCACCATCTGATGCCCCAACGACCCAGGGATGCCTGCCAGTTTGTACCCACATCTTGCGAGAGAGGAGGTATGCAATCGTGGCAAAGGCTGCCCCCAATGCCTCAGCACCTGATCTAGCGGCAACCGCTGTGCCGGATCCTGTCAGTCGGCACAGAGCACGATCATTCCTAACTTCGCTTACCAGTGGCTTGAAGGGAATGAAGGGTTGGGCTGCAGGTTCTATCATAGGCAGACTATACTGGATCCCCATTCCTCCATGCCGTGCTGACCACTGGCCTACTGACCTCACGTGAGTATAGTATCCCTATATAAAACCCAATATTCTATATTGGTTTCCATGTTCTTTTTCATTCTTCCCTTATTCCCGACTAAGCCCAGTATATAGCCTATGATTAATACACTGTATTTGCCATTATTCCCTAAACCCTGGAGCCTAAACACTATATCCTAAACCCGAAACCTCAAACCCCAAATCCTATACCCTAAACCCTCTACCCTAAACCCTAAACCCTCAACCCTCTACCCTAAACCCTACACCCTCTACCCTAAACACTGAACCCTAAACCCTAAACCCTCTACCCTAAACCCTAAGCCACGTATAGTACGTTCAACTCAGCTTTTGGCTCGCTTCAGTAGCCGGCGCACCAAGTCCACCACCAACGGAGGCAGGCCAGGCTGGGCAGAGCGCAGCAGTAGGGCTTGAGGTTTAGGGTTTAGGGTTTAGGCTTTAAGGTTTAGGGTTTAGGATACTCTAATATACTATAGCATATATACTATAGCATAATGTACCATAGTATGCTATGTTATACGAAAACATGTCATAGTAGAATTTGATATAGTATCAGATACCATAGTAAAATACACTATGGTAAAATCTAATATACTAGATAGGCGAGTGCATAGACAAAGTGAGGGATAGAGGAAGAAAGACTGACCGACAGACAAACGCATAGAAAGATAAATGGATAGATAGAAAGATAGATAGGAGATAAGTAGATAAATAGATAGAAAAACAAATCGCGGCTCCACAAGAGTTTTCTGTGAAAGCTCCCATGCCAGGTGAGCCGTAGTCTAAACTCCTAATATCCCCCTTAGTAACCCTTCTAGTGGTCCCCTACACAATCCCTTATAGAACCCCGTTTAAGGGATTCTGACCATAAACCCTATATATTCTCTTGTGTAACCCCCCATTCGTCAACGGATTAGGGCCCTGACTGGAAAGAAGATCGCGATTTTCAGGATCCTGGTCTCGATGTTTGGGCATGAGTGTTACTTACCGGGGGTTAATAGGGACTGTGAATATATTCGCCGAAGCTATCCGGCCTCAGGGCGTTCAGAACCCTCTAGAAA